ACCAAGATTCAACAGACAGCCAAGCATCTTAACATGAGTCAATCTCTATTGAGATGGGAGATTAAAGGAGCAAACTAGAAAGCAGAGGTAGGGGAAGAGGGATGCCAAGCCACATGCAGATTGTCCAAGAGCAGAAACTGAAAAGAGACAAGGACCTTTCTTCAGAGCTGACAGAGGTCGTCTTTTCCACAGAACCAGCACCCTGAATTCCAACTTCTGGCCTCCTAAATTTGAGAAAATAAATTATTTTATTTTAAACTTTTTATTGTGAATCGGATGAAGGTCTACAAACAAGACATCAGCTTTACATTCAACAAATCATACACTTTGTTTCCATCGCAATGATTACAATCCCCTCCCTGCAACAACAGTTCTCCTACTTCTTCCCTGTGGTTCCCATTTACACCATTCACAAATGAAGAAAGCAAAAATACTTGATGTAGACATACAAAGCAAAAAATATATATTCACTAATATATATTCATTTAAATGTCCAACGGGCACATTCTGCAAGCCAACCTCCTGCTCACAGGCACACAGCCTTACTCCATTCATGGACTCAAAGCCTGCAGCTGCTCTGTATCGCCATGCTATCACCTCTGCACCATCTCTGCTGTTGCCACTTGAGAAAATAAAAATTTTTGTTACAACAATCCATTTGTGCTATTTCTATTATGGCAGTATTAGATTACTGAGATACCTGCCAACTTTTTATCTCGAATCCAGACCACTAAATTCTGACTCCAGATCTGCCATTTTCCCAATGTGGTCTGGACCATGCCATCTGGTTGTTGATCAGGTACCTCAAAACATATCCCAAACGGACCTCCACAAATTTTCTCTCCCCATACCAAACTCTGCCCCCAATTACCCCTTTTGCCGTCATCTCCATTATGATTGGTGGTACCACCTTCTAATCAAAATTTTTATGCTAGAAACCTTCCTTTTTCTCTTCCCTTTCTCTGACCTCAACATCTAACCAGTGACTAAAATTTCATCAATATTTCTTGAATTCTTTTAATCCTTATTTCTGCCACTCTAGTTTCAGCTCTTAACATTTGTCACCTGGGCTTCTGGAACTGGACTGCTTTGTTCCAGCCCCATTTCCCTTATAACCTCCTCTATGTTGTGGCCAGGTTGGTCTTTCTGAAGTACAGATCTGATCATGCTCCTTTCCTACAGTGAACTCCCATCATTGGCCTATCTTACAGTATATATAACATTGACATTCTTAGGGTCTTCATCTGGAATCCATAAACTGGCAACTAATTCTCTAGCCCTGTCCTTCATGCTTTTCTTATTACAGCAACAACTTTGGGGAAGGCTTCCGACTTCCCCAAACTCACCTGCTATCTCTTGCCTTTTTCATGCTGACATTCTGTCTAGAATACCTTACACAGACAGCAACCCTAACTGGATCCCCTACTACAGAATCACCTCTTGGGCCAATTCTTGGTCAGCCTTTAAGATTTAGCCCAACTGACCTAGCCCTCGGGAGCTAGAGCTGAGAGTGAAGGGGCCAGCTGGTGTGAAATGCAGGGAGATGTTCATGAACTCCCAAACTCACAGCTGGTACCTATTTGACCTAGCTTTGATGGCTAGGGTTGATCTGATCAGAACCTGACCAGATGAAGATAAAGAAGTTTGATACTGTGAGCAATTGTAAAGTGCTACAATTTGTGAACTGGAGTTTTGCTTATGGATGCAGTTGCTTACAATTCCAACCAGAATGGAAGATTTTCATATCATGGAACATACTTATTTACTCTTTGTGCTGGGTTTATTGGGATAGGCAATTTAGACATTGGCTAACAAAAATGGGGGCCTATAAAGGCAGCTGACTTATAAGCTTTCTTGGTGTACTTAGTTTCAGAATGAGGCAGATAAGGTTGAATAGTTTTCCTCTTTTCCAGATGGGTCTGGTGAAAGGGCATGGGGGATGATGCTGATAGGGTTTTATGGTTCACTTGTGAGTAACTGCTAGCAGAATTAATTGTCACTGTCAAAAGTGAAATTGTAGAAGATACGTAACTAAAAGGAAGGAGTAGTTAAATCTTTCACTTCAGGAACAGATGATCCCAGGACCATCAATAAGGAAGAACATGAGTGGAGTGTGAGATTTCTACCTAGAAAAGTGGCGACAGCAGAGGTGGTGGCAGAGGTGGTGTCATGGAGAGACTGAGCAGCTGCAGGCTTTAGGCCCATGGACTGAATAAGGCTGTGTGCCTGCGGACAGGAAGCTGGCTTGCAGAATGGGCATATTAAATGAATATATATTTTTTGTTTTGTATGTGTGCATCAAATATTTTTGCTTTGTTCATTTGTGAAATATAAGATGTAAATGGGAACCACAGGGAAGAAGTACCATAACTGTTGTTGCAGGGAAGGGATTGTTATCATTGCGATGAAACAAAGTGTATGATTTGTTGAATGTAAAGCAGATGATCTTACCTATAAACATTCACCCAATTCACAAAAGAAGTTAAAAAAAATAAAAAAGATTTAGGCCAGATGTCATCTCTTCTAAGACATTTTTATAAATGTCCCTGTAACCTTTAGGATGCTTAGCATAAAATATTAATTTGAACCAGAAATTGTTTTAAACAAGTTTGATATATATGAGGGGTTTTTCAAAGTTCATGGAAAAATTTCATGATCTTTTAACTGAATTTTTCCACAAACCTTTTGAAGCCCCCTGGTATTGTTACTGTTAGCTGCTATCAAGTAAGCCCCCAACTGATGGCAATTCCCATGCACAGCACGACTGGACACTTGTGATCCACAGGATTTTTTGTGAAGTAAAGAATTTTTCAGAAGTACATCGCCAGGCCTTTCTTCTTAGTCTGTCGATTCAGAAAGCTTCCTGAAACTGTTCAGCATCATAGTAACATGCAGAAGTCTATTAACAAATGGGTAGTGGTTATGCTGAAGCATATCAATTGTCCAGTGATTGAAGCGAATCTTGCACATGAAAGACAAGAATTGTACCACCGAGTAACCACTGCCCTATATACATGTATTGTTGTTGTTAAGTGCCACGGACTCAATTCTGACTCATAGCGACCCTGTATAGGATATCCAAAGAGTGGTTGGTGAGTTTGAACCACTGACCCTATAGTTCAAACTGACCTTATGGTTGAGTGCTTATACTACAATACAACTTCATTTAATCCTACAGCTCCGTGGTGAGGATTAAATGAAGTTATGTACGTGTAGTGTGGCACTTTAGGGTAAGCACTGGACTGCTAACTGCAAGTTAGTGGTTCAAACCCACCAGCCAGCCGCTCCACATAAACCCTATACAGGGACACTATGAGTCAAAACTGACTGGGTGGGGGCACTTAACAACAACACCCTTATAAAAAGGAGTCTTGGTGGCACAGTGGTAAAGCGCTCAGTTGCTAACCAAAATGCCAAGGGCTCTGTGGGAGAAAAAGCCTGATAGCAATTTATTCTTGTAAATATTACAGTCTAGGAAACCCTGTGGGGGCAAATCTATTCTGTTATGGGGTCACTATGAGTCAGAATCAGCTTGATGGCACACACCACCACCCTATAAGCACATACTAATAGTATCTTTGTTTTACAGAGGAGGAAAACAGGTACCAGGAAGTTAAGTAATTTGCCCAAGGTTATATGTATTAGACTGTTAAGTGTTGTCAAGTTGGCTATGACTCATAGTGACACTATATAGGGTTTCTGAGGAGCGGCTGGTGGGTGGTTTGAACTGGACCTTGCAGTTAGCAGTACAGTGCTTATCCTACAGCGCCACACCAGGACTCCAGTACTCCAACTCCATTCCGAGTCATAGTGACCCTATATAGGGTTTCCTAGGAGAGGCTGGTGAGTTTGAACCGCCGACATTGTGGTTCAAGCCGACCTTGTCCCGTGCTTTATCTACAAGGCCACACCAGGACTCCAAATGGCTTCACTCAAACCATGCTCTACACTATTATCGAATGAGACCAGCATCTCAGTAATGGAATGACGCACAGTTTAAAGACAGGAACTGCTTGGAGGACAGACAACACCTGCAGATTACAGCCTAAATCATAGAATTCAGAACCTCAGACATAGACTGACCATAACCCCGGGTATAATCAGACCAGCCCAGAAGAAAACAGTGATCCAGAATCTCAGGGAAATAAAAACTGATGTGAAACACACTGGAAACCCCTTCTTGACCCATGCTCCTAGTCCTTAGGGGCGCAGGAGTTAGCTGCCCGGAGGGGGTTCAAATGTCTTAGAGCACAGATTCTCGCCCCCCCCCCCGCCCCCAAGGGTTCTCACGGTAAAGAGCACATCAAACGGTTAATTTTGCGATTGAACGACTCCAACGCGGACTCCACAGGAAAGGGGAAGGTTAACTTCCCGGAAGTGTTTCTCCACGGCGGCAGGGCCAAGGGATGTGGTTCAATCTGGGGCGCTGATCAGAGGGCTAACCGTCTTGGAGAAAACCCTGCGGGAACCGAGTCTCGGACTTGACTTGTCCTCCAAGTTTGCGACCGTAGAGTTAACCGCTGCGGAAGGATTCCCAGCAGATGCAGTGCATCGGCTGGGGCGCGGCGACGAGAGGGTTAACCGCGTCTCAGGGCCCCCCTGAGGGGCGGGGCCTCGGGGCGGGAGGCGGTGCTGGAGGCGGAAGCGGCCGGCGGTCTGAGCCTGGCTAGTCTCTGCTCGCCTGGGGTCTGCTTCTCAGACAGCCAGCTACTTACGGGGCTGGGTATCTGACCAAGGTTCGGGGGCGGTGACCGGGATGTGGGAGGGAATGCCTATGGAGAGACCCAAAGGAAGTAAACTGACCTGACGAGTGCCTCGGGACAGATGGAATGAGGGCAAGGTGAAGAATGGCTTGGGAGCCCTGGGGCAGCGGAGAAGGAAGCGCAGGACAGTGGGCAAACATTGGGCCAAAAGAAGGCGAATGATAGGATAAGATGCCTGAGTGAAGTGAGCTGCCCCGCCAGAATACCGTGGCTCACATCCCTTTCTCTCCCGGCTCCGATCCAGGTCAGTCCGGAATTGAAGCTGAACTTTGAGAAGAGAGACACCCCAGCAAGACTCAGGAGTCTTACAACTTCTTACCTTCATGGGCCAGACGGCCCTGGCAGGGGGCAGCAGCAGCACCCCCACCCCACAGACCTTGTATCCTGATCTCTCTTGTCCTGAGGGTTTGGAGGAGCTGCTGTCTGCGCCCCCTCCAGACCTGGGGGCCCAACGGCTCCACGGCTGGAACCCTAAGGACTGTTCAGAAAACATCGAGGTCAATGAAGGGGGGTTGTGCTTTGAGCGGCGGCCTGTAGCCCAGAGCACTGATGGGGTTCGGGGTAAGAGAGGCTACTCCAGGGGGCTGCACGCCTGGGAGATCAGCTGGCCCCCAGAGCAGAGGGGTACCCATGCTGTGGTGGGCGTGGCCACGGCCCTTGCCCCGCTGCAGACTGACCACTATGCGGCGCTGCTGGGCAGTAACAGCGAGTCATGGGGCTGGGACATTGGGCGCGGAAAGCTGTACCATCAGAGCAAAGGGCCAGGGGCCCCTCAGTATCCAGCCGGACCGCAGGGTGAACAGTTGGAGGTGCCAGAGAGGCTGCTGGTGGTTCTGGACATGGAGGAGGGAACTCTGGGCTACTCTATTGGGGGCACCTACCTGGGGCCAGCCTTCCGTGGACTGAAAGACAAGACCCTCTATCCAGCAGTAAGCGCTGTCTGGGGCCAATGCCAAGTTCGCATCCGCTACCTGGGGGAGAGGAGAGGTGAGGCCTGGGGCAGGTGCTGGGAAGGGGTTCTACCACTGGTAGCAGTGAATTGGATAGAAGCTTAACATCTGACAAGAGTTAAGTAGACCTTCATCTGGTCTGCCTCCTACCCCTTATTCAGTGCTTCTTGTTGTGTGCCGTCGACTTGGTTCCGACCCATAGCGACCCTGCATAGGGTTTCCAAAGAGAGGCTGGTGAGCTTGAACCACAGACCTTGCGGTTCAAACCGACTTTGCAGTCCAGCAAATTAACCCACAGCGCTGAACCAGGACTTTATTGTTGTTAAGTGCCGTCGAGTCGGTTCTGACCCATAGCAACTCTCTATAGGGTTTCCGAAGAGCAGCTAGTGAGCTTGAACCACCGACCTTGCAGTTCAAATGACTTTGCAGTCTGGCGCATTTACCCACAGCGCTACAGCAGTACTCGGCATGGCTAAAATGGTGTTGTATAATTGATTCTCCCGACAGAGTAAAACTGAGGCTTGGAAAAGTAACATCCTCTAGTTCTCTTGGCTAGTAACCCTCGGAATGGAGGGAGGTACTCCACGGATTAGGACTTTACTTGAGGTATCAGCCCCTCGAGCAAAAGATGCAAGGATTAAATGGAGGCTGGACAAGGTATAAAGGAAGAGAAGGTTGGCAGTTCTATGCATCCTGGGTGTGTACAGATTCTCGGAGCTCCGACCCATAGCTTTTCCCTCATCTCAGTCAAACCCACTAGATGGGGCTGTGGGACCCTGGGTACCAGGAAGGAAAGCGGAGAAGGTGGGCCTTGGGGGGGAGCTTCTTTGGGGAACCAATTGAGACCCGGACTTGGGCCTGGGTGAATGTAGCCTTTGTCTGCTATTGCAGCTTCCAGAAGGTGGGTGCCTCTTCTCCCACCACTGATGGTGAGGCATTAGAAGATGAAGGATCATTCTTCTTATGCAGCCCGGTTCTGAGGTACCTCAGTCCAGTCAGCTGTGCCTGTTAGAGGGCCTTGTTGTTGTTACATGCCTTTCCAGTAAATTCCGATTCATAGTGACTCTTTATAATATTTCCGAGGCTATAAATCTTTAAGGGAGCAGTCTGCCTCATCTTTCTCTGGTGGACTTGAACTGCTGACGTTGTGGTTAGCTGTTTGGTGCTTATCCTGCAGCACCACCATTGCTAGAGCTATCGTCCTAGCCTTGACTGAGGCTGTGTGAAATCTAGCAGTGATGCTTTCACTGAAAGGATAGATACAGAACGTTGAAGTGCTTTAGTGCTCCCTTCTCAACCAAGGCAGGGGCAGGATTAGAGCTAGAAAGCAGGAGGGAACATGGGCGCATCCCTTTAGCTTGAAGATTTCTGGCTGGTGTTGCATCCCTACTTACCCTTATCTCCTTCTCTCTCCCAGCGGAGCCTCACTCCCTTCTGCACCTGAGCCGCCTGTGCGTGCGCCAAGCTCTGGGGGATACTCGGCTTGGCCAGGTATCTGCTCTGCCTCTACCCGCTGCCATGAAGCGCTACCTGCTCTACCAGTGACCCCTGTCTACCAGACAGTGCAGGGGAAGCCTTGCTAATGCCTCACCTTGCCCAGGACTGGGAGCCAAGCATTGCTGGCCTATACCAGCTACTTGAAGCCAGTAAGACCTGGGGGGAAGGGTAAGGCTGGGCTCCTACCCCCAACATTCTGGAGAGCTCAACAGTCCTCAAGGCACCCAGAAGTGGGTAGAAGGGAGGAAACTTATCCAAGGCTGTGGCACACAAAACATTTTTTCAGTAAAAATAGTAAGAGATATGTTGTTATAGAAACCTGCTCATGCTTTTTTTATTTTTTAATTTAAGGTTTTTATTGTGGATTGAGTGAAAGTTTACAGGGCACATCATCAGTTTCACATTCAACAACTCATATAAATTGTTTCACCACATTGATTACAATCCCCTCCATCAGTCAAGCATTTCCCTCTATCCACTTTAGCTTTTTTTTAAAAAAAAACCCACACAAACAAAAAAAACCCACTCAGGCATATATAATAATTTACATCTCCAAAGGGCACATTCTACAAGTCTGCTCCTGGCCACCAGTTCTTAGTCCTTCTCTTCTTAGTTGATGAATCTAGAGTCCTCAGCCATTCCCCTTCTCCATGCCCCCATCTCTGCCCCCATCTCTGGCACTGCTGCTTCTCTGGATAAGGTCCCACATTCTATTTGTGCGTTCCTCTCTTGATGGTCCTAGGGTCCTTTGTTTCTGGACTGCAAGATTAACCACTCCCCTTTTTTTGTTACAAAACTTCTACCTTTACAATTGTGACAGCGATTAGTTATAATAAGTTATTCACTATTGAATCTTACGAATCTTATCCCCCTCTCCTTTCACCAGACCCTTCTAGACAAGATGACAGGTATTCTCAGTGGGGACTCTTTCTCCCCCCATACAGACTCTTAAACTAAGCGCCCTCTTGAAACCTTGTAAGCTAGGTATCTCATGCCTTTATTGCCCCCTCATGTTGTAGAACCCCTTTGAGGTATTCTAATCAGTTATAGGCTGAAGGCGGGCTTACAAGTTTTCTCTAATCATGTTTCCCAACATTCCTTTCGATCCCACTCAAGTGTCTATTTTACAATAGTAGGCAAGGGAAACTAATATTCATAAGGCAGTCAAGGATTTTGGTATTATTTACCCTCTTCAAGCTATACCTAGATCCCTCTCTATCCCAGAGCCCTGTTGTTCCAAGGTTGAGTATGCATCACTATTTACCTCTATCCTACTAGGCCATGCAAACCTGTTTCAGTGTTCCCTTATCTATCTTGTTCTTCTGCCTCCTCCCCGCTTCTTGTATTGCCCTCCCGAACATCCAAAATAAACCCCCCACCCCAACCCCATTGTGGTTACTTTGTATTCCATTAGTTCTTCCCTCCATTTAAGATAGTCTATTTTATCCAATTATCTAACTGAACTTC